TACTCACAATGAAAAAACATTCATGAATTTCTGGAAAATTTTAAATCTTTTAAAATATTTTATAAATCGTAAATGACTGGTATAAATCTAATTATTTAAAGGAATAAGATACAGGTATGTATAATTAACCCAAAGGGTTAAAATCAATAGGTACATATATTTATAGCTTTACTTTTTTTTATTTTTATTAATATAAAGAATAATAAAATGCATAATGTATTTTAATAATACAACTAAAAACTAATTAATAATAAAAGTTTAAAGTAAATAAATGTACAAATGATATCGTTTGAATAAAATGATAATATAGTAATAAAGGTATAAGATTTGAAATGTTTGTTTGTAATGGAATGCATTATTATATAAATAATAATAATATTATCATAAACATTTCTCGTATTATACTTTATTAAAATCTCTAAAAATTAAAACATAAATATATAGACTGAAAATATAATAATTTGTTTTTCATACATACATAATACATAAATAGATAATAATTTCTTAACAAGATTAAAAAAATTTACTAAAGCTTGAAAATTGTACCTAAAATGAAAATGAAAATGAATGTACAACAAAAGTAGTAAAAATGAGAGTATAAGTTCGACATTTGTTTTTTATTAAATTTAGTATTTTTTTGTTTTTAAAAATAAAGCAATTCTATATTTTTTGTTGAAGTCGAATGTACAAAAAACATGCTAAATATAATATATATAATAATAAGGGCACACTATATTAAAATATTATCAACATTATATTTAAACTTTAATGATCACAGTAGCAACGTTTGTGATTTATACAATATATAAATTACAGTCTTAGTAGACGAATCTATATTATAAATATTGTTTGCACTAGTCTATAGCCAAAAGTGTCCGTATAAAAAACAAATGCGCCTAATAAAGTAAAACATCATAAAAAAGAACATTTTTGTTGTATTATAACGAATTGATGTGTAAAATGACCACACCGATCTAAAAACTTATAATGATAGTTATTATTTTATTTTTTTCCTTTTTTTTATTTTTATAAGTCTAGTACCTGTAAATGAGAAAATTCGTTAATACAATTGAAATTTTTATCTAAACATAACTATGTATATTATACTTCTACTACCTCAATCTATATAATATATGAACTGATCATCATAATATTGATTATCGTTTTTATAGAATGAAATAAAAAAATACATTCACGATTTGGTAGAAGTAGGTATAGGACATAGGTACTAAAAAAAGGTATAATTATAATACTGGTGTTTAGATAAAATGATTTATTTTTGTCGTATTAATTAAACGAACATTTTATAAATATATAATTTAGAAGATATCCATCGAAAAAAATTATTATTGTAACCATATTATTAGGTTAGGTTAGCTAATAATATTATTTATTACTAACTGTGTTTAAAAGGCACTTATTTAGACCCAAGATTAGAGATTGCTTTACAAAATGTTTTTTTTTTCCAATATTACGCATTGGTCAATTCATAATAAATCAATTACCCACTATTTGGTAAGATATTTTAAAAAWTTTAAAACAACAAATGTACGGATTTTTTTCATATTCAATCCACGAGAAAATATTATTAGAAAAAAAAAGATAAACCTAATATAACGTGAAAAACACGACGTAAAATTGTGTTCATATGAACATTTTTCCTGTAGGTACTCAGCTTAAAACGCAATGTGCCGACTGTGAAATAACTTCAATTACCTACTACAAACACATTTATTAGATACTTATCTATTTTCATATCTATATAGTATACGATTATACTAGTAAGAAGTCATAGGCCATACTATTTTTGATGARATGTCAGTTTAGATAAAAATATCAGAAACAACCAAGTATATAGGTACTAAATATAAATGATTTTATTAAATATAATATATAAATTGAAAAAAAAATTGTTTCATAATCAATTATAGTTATAACTTATTAAGTTATAAGTTATAACCTATCATTTTGTTTACGTCTATACAAACATAATATGAACAGAAAATTAAATATCCCTACAAACATATTGATTTTACGATAAATTATTATTCCGATTCGTAACTGAACGTAAACTCGTTTGTAATTGTTAATGATGAAAAACCTGTAAAGTACCTATACACATGAAGATCTTATTTTGAATTTTGAAATTGTGAAAAAAAAATATAACGCCAGCTTCTTATTTGTCAACTTTGACAAATTAAGCTAYATTAAGTTTARTTATAGTTTTAATTTTTTAGATGAAAAATCCATTTTTCATTAATTTGTATKATTTGTATAATATACAATCTAATATAATATTTGAATAAAACTATGTGACATTATTGGTGTTCGAATGAAATGAGAATATATTTTTTCCACATACATATAATTAATACGGTACACTCAATGTTATCTTTTATTACAATAATTATTATACATGTTTTTTTAGAATGTTTTGATATTATAACTTTTTAAAATTATCCTTGTTATTAGAGTTTATTGGTCCCAATAAAAAAAGAAAGTGAAAAAATGTTTTCTATTATGAAAAATAATATGTTTTAATTTTAGTCTTATACTTGATTGTTTAATTTTCAAACTAATTTTGGTCATGTACGCGCCAGGAAACTTTCAGAAGTACTATTTATAAATTAAAATAAGAACATATGTTTCATATAGATAAGGAGTTATAGGAGTTTCTGAAACTTATTGATTTAAAAATGTAAAATAAAAACAAACTGGGTAGGTGTATTATGTTGATTATATTAAGGATTTGGATTCGTCGTTATTATTATTCTTCGTTTGAACACCGAGTAAATGTTTTTAATTATTGCTTTTTTAAATCACTATCAAATAAACGCTTGAAGAATGTTTACGCTCTGTCACATAAATAAATATAATTTCAATAAATAACAGATTATTTGATTAAAACTATACCTAACATCTATAAGCTCAATTTGTTTTACCAACTACAACAAAGTAGTATCCATTTAATTCTAAGAATGTATAAAATTCGAATTTATTAAGCCTAAAGGAATCACCAGTCGTCATATATATATATATATATATATATAAAAAACTAACAACTAAAATTAATTTTATAATAAAGTGTTTACGAGGGATATTGGTTTAAGTGATTTACACTAAATTACTGACAAAGCATATTTTAACATTTTATTGTAAGAATAATTAAATATATTTATAATTTTAATTCAAGTACGATTTTTATATTAAATAGACATAGAAAAATAGTGTTTTAGATTTATTTAACGATAATTATATTTAATTATAATATTTTATATTAAATTGTATTGTGCATTAGCCTAAAATTAGGTTTCTTCGTAAGAATTCTTCAGACAAGGGTTCTCATAAAAATATTAATTTTTGTCTAAATAGTATTATTATCGTACTATTGTATTTATTTATTATGTTAATTTKTGACATTCATCAACCAATTATGTGGTCCACGTCATCGAAAGGATAAAGTTACCAAATAAAGCTTTTTTTAAGTCAAACAGAYATGTGTGTATTTTAATTTTGCGTGACTGTAAGAAGTTTATTTTGTTCCTTAATAAAATAATAACATTGGTCGGGGATCTATGAAAATGAGAAGTTTTGATAGTCTTTTAAAACGTTTAAACTTGTTCTTCTAAGGCCGGAAACTGTTGTCTGTGCGTCTGGACGTTTAAAAGGTACACCAACTGGTCCAGCTTCTTGTCCATAATAGATAGCTAAAACATAAAACCAGGAATAAATATGTATTTAATTTCTAAGCAATTTAAAAACAAATCATGGTCTCTGATCAGGTAGGACTTTCCTTCTGACTGACTCATGCAATTTTGTAAATAGTGAATATAGCTAAACAAGTGATATATTTTTAAAGTTTTTAATGTTTAGATATTTTACCTGCTGTTCCAGCCTATACAAACGAGCACCAATTGTCATAGGCTTAACATTGCCCGATCGATCTATTCCGGCAAGGTAACTTCCTGGCTTTCCGAGCGTTTGATCTAATCTTCTTTGCAATTCCTGAAAAAAATATATCATTATAAGAATGAGAACAGCGTCCGCGCAGAAAGTACATTTATAAGTTATAAATATTCGTTGTTTTGAATAAAACCATTTGTTTTAAGAATTACTGTTTTAAATATAGACAAATAAATACAATATATTTAATAATTGTTGGGTAATTCAAAAATGTTTAACTGCAATAAATTATAAGAAATAGATGAAAAGACGAAAAGTGTTTTTAACATGGGTAGTTTATTGGATTTAAGAATAAAATTCAGTATGGAACTAGCGAATGTACGATTACGTTAAGAATGGGCGATGAGTTTTTAACAAACCGCCAAGAGTAACTATAACTATAAAGTTAGATCCTTGTGTATTATTATATTACCTGTATTTAAGTTAATAATATATTTTTATACGCTCACAAAATGTTTTCGATATTGACTCAGGAGTTGTTTTTTACAGTTGTTTGAAGAAAAAGTTATAGAAAGCCTTGTGTAATGTTCTTCAATTTTAAGTATAAATTACAACAATTTCATGAATTTTAAACTTCATAATTCCATGCAAATTATCGCGATTTTGACATATTTCGTAAATATTCGAATTTTAAATGCTTATAAACAAAAATTGTGATTAACGGTTTTTGAATTTTTTTTTACTACGATAGTTACAACTTATAATAATAATCTAGTATTAAATTTTTAAGATTTTTTGGATAGTCAAGTTTTTTTTATAGGCATTTCAAAAAAAAAAATTGGAAAAATTGAAAATTTCAATTGTCTACAAAAAACTTTAAAAAAATTGAAAATAGATAAAGTTAATATAAGCATTTGATGAAAATTTTAAGTATTTACAATGATTTGTTTTTGAGTTATAGCAAAATAAAAAATCGATTTTGTCAAAAACTGATTATGCGTAAAAGTTCCCGTTTTTTTTTGTTACTTTTTTAGGGGTTTTCCTGAATATTTTGAAAACTACTGGACATTTTTACTTTTGACCCTCTTAAATACCAATTAGATGAATTTTATTTTTTAAGGGTGTTGAAGTCAAAAATCAAAGCATTATTTCTACTCCAAAACGTGGTGACAGACAAAAAAAAAAACATACATTACTTTGTTCGAAATCTAAAATTGTTAAAAATCAATGAATAATATTAAATTGATCAATTTTATTATAATTTCATAATATTTCAGTGATTTAAGAGTAAAAAATAAAATADTATAAAATGTTGCAATTTGATCTGTAGGTCTTGTTATTGGTTTTGCGTTATATTATTCGGTTGAGTGTTGATTGGATTATGAAAAGTAATTTACTTTATCTATTTATTTATTATTTGACCCACTAGTCGACAAAATATAACGTGGTATCTGTTGGTATAGTATARTATATATTTGCTTATAATATACCATATATAATATAAGAATGAGTGTACTACTGTATTGACACCTAATAAAGGTGTATAATTATATATTTTTTTCTTACTTGGGCGTTTAAGGAGAACAAAAATTTAAAATATTATAATTATTTTATACATAATAATACATCATTTAACATACATTTATCAAATATCAGATAATATGCTTTTGTATTTTTACATGGGTATCAACATTTTTAACATGCCTATTTGTCTTTCAATATGAAATACAATAAGGAAATACATGGTTTTTGAAGTACAAATAGGATGAACATTAAGAAATATTTCTTATAAAACCATATAAATATGCCTTGGAACATCTTGAACTGCACCATAGGTACATAGGGATATGAACTTAAAATGTTTTTTGATCAACAATATAACAAACACACAGCATGCTTGATGTAAAAAAAAAAAAATGAGCAAAAGTTCTTTCTTTAGTTAACAAATTAAAATATTACCTGATGTAAAGAAAGGTGTAAATTAAATTTTTAATGTATTCTAATACATCATAATTTTATTAACTATTACCGTCCAAAAAAAATCTTGAAAGATCATTATAAAATTATTTTCTCCGTGTCTTTAAATTAATGATATAAAAGAGGTTGGTTCAAATTTTTATTAGTTGAATTATTTTTACTACATTATCACTTTTATAATATAATACAATACATAAAATACATAACATAAGATACAAATACATAATTTGTTTGGAATATTTAATTTCTTATACATTTAATAAAATTTTTGAAAAAYCACAATATTTTACCTTTATCCGAACCATCATATTCAAATGACCTTGGCTGTATTGTTCGATAACATCGCGTACATCGTATGGTTTTCTAGCTTGTTGAAATTTTCTTCTGGCCACAAAATATTTGATCTTTCTAATGGCTCGAATAGCATTTTTGTGTACGTCGGTTAACCTGTATTATGACAAATATTAGTTTTAAACATATTTTAATTTTCTTTAAACATACCTATTATTAGTATGTATGGTTCTACGTTTTTATTTAATAATTTTGAGATATGAAAAAAAAAAATTATGATGTCATTTAAGTTTGTATTTTCACTAATTTTTAAAGTCGTTATTAGTTTCATTAAATAGATACATTTAAATGAATAATTAAAAGGACTTATATTAACCGATTTTCATAAAACTAAAAACCATTTGGCGTTAGTAGTATATCTATACATCTATACACATAGTTACTTTACTTATGATCGGAATATTATTCTATTTTAATGTTCATAAATAATATAGTTTCTTTTGATACAACATATAGATAAAAATATCTAACTCACGTGGTCACTCTCTCTGGTTCCATTTCCAAGTCGACTTCGTCGCTTGCTGCTTCCGTCACGGAACTCGTCTGACTGACATATCCTCTAGCTTCTCTTCTAACGCGATTTGGAGTGGCTAAACATGATGGAAACAATGATTTCAATAATTTTAACAAAAATACAAAAGAGAATGAGGTAAATTCAAATAAATCGGACAAATATAGTAAAAAATAATGTAAAATTGTWGTTTGATTAGATAAAACCTATTTGTTTATTATGAATTTTAAAATTTRTACTCAGACTAAAACTAGACATGTTTTTAAAATCATCATTATTTATTTTWAAATCAAAATTTATAATTGAACCGTAAAAATAATATGTTCCTTATACTTGAAACATTTTTTATTTCAATCAATGGTGTCCACAGTAATTTTGTAACAGGGATGAGGGATAAGGGGAAATATTATCATTTTTAAATATTTTGTTTCAATATCTGATTAGTGATAAAGCTTGTTTGTTTCATATATATACAGGGTGATTTTTTAAGCATGCTCGCCCCATTTTKATKCTWAAAYTATGYATAYWTTCAAATTTTGATTTTTGGAATATTTAAGTGTAGTTAAAGGCGATATTTTTGAGTACTTAGATTTTTCACAACTTTTAAGGAGTATCCTGTAGCGATACCAA